ATTTAAATGCATGTTCGATGGACAACTTGCGAGAGTAATGTCTGTTTGTATGTGATAGAACTATCACTTTTCACGGTTTAACAATACTAGCCCGAATACCACTACTATGTTACCTGACTCATAACGAGTCATGGAGCAAGATGGATCAGCTAGTACATTTATGCATTTATGTGTATGTCACTATCAACAGGTTTAACGCAACCTTACCGTAATTTGTGTCCCCGGGATCATATATCTCGTCTAGTTTTACGTTCATATGCTATGATAAGTTAGACGAGGTATTATAATGAGAAACGTAACGTAGGTATTCGCTTTTAAACAAGTGACACAGTAACCATAATGACACTAAACCCGAATATAATGATCACAGATCTTTCTTTGAATAATGAGCAACTATTTTATTCAGGACTATGGAAAACTACAAAGGACAGTCCTATGGGGTTGTACGCAATGGTGACGTAGGACTACGTGGTCTTATATAATACATATTATTTGTTGACTGCAGCAGGAGCTTGTGTTTTGTGTAGGAATAGGAATTTGAGAGGGATTCTCTCTATTTGTAGACTTAAATTGTTTATTGTTTATTGAAAAATTCAACTGACAAATACTGTCTAAATGAATAAAACTTAAACTAAATAGTTACGGTCAACGGTACGGAAAAGGCCAAGTAGCCGATGACGAAATACGTCAGCTGATACATTGAAGTCGAACATATAAAAAAAGTTGTTGAATTGCCGGCTGATTGCTCGAATTGGCTCGTGTTGTGTATAATTCCGGCTCCGTGGTTCCAAAAACAGAAAGTCGCGTTGACGAAGAGACCTCTCAGGGGCATACATATTTAGCTGTGACAGCAGTGTTGGGCAGTCAATGTCACCTGTAAGCAGCTTTCCAGCGAACATAGCTTGAGCGACCGTCCGTCTCACCTCTAATGGCTCGAGGAGACGGCAACGCTCCTCGTACGGTGGCAAGTTCGTTGGGTCACGCCAGTTGAGGAAACGAAGAGCATATCTCACAAACTTGCGTTGAACGGATTCAATTCTAGTGATCCAGCTAGCATGGAAAGGGCACCAAACAACTGAACTTGACTCCAATAAGGATCGCACAAGCGAGCAGTAAAGTGACCTGAGACATAGCGGGTCACGAAACTCGTCGGCAATTTTGAAAATAAAGCCCAATTGTCGATTAGCTCTGGAGATGATGTCAGTGTAGTGGATTCTGAAAGTGAGTCTGCAGTCCAAGGTAACGCCGAGATCCTTTATGTGCTCTACACGAGCAATACAGCGTCCGTAGAGAACATAGTCAAACATGATTGGTTCAATTTTTCGGTGATATGAAATAATGTTACATTTTTCTATGCTTGGACTCATCAAATTTCTTGAGCACCAGTCAGCAAAAATACCTAACATATTCTGGAGATCCCAGCAGTCCGAGAGGCTTTTAATAATTTTGTAGATTTTCGTATCGTCTGCATAGAAAACGCGGCATCCTAATGGTATCAGCAAGGCGACATCGTTTAAAAAGATCGAAAATAGTAGCGGTCCTAGGTTACTGCCTTGCGGGACTCCCGAGTTGTTTGAGAAAACATCCGATTCCGACGCGCCAATCTTGACATGTACATAGCGATTCACCAAGTAAGATCTGAACCAATCCACAGCAGTTGACGAGATGCCAAGTATCTCCAGCTTGGCCAGCAAGATATTATGGTCCACCGTGTCAAATGCAGCTTTTAGATCCATATACGCAGTATCGACTTGCCATCCTGAATCCATGCATCGCAGACAGTTAGAAGTGAACTGCACCAGGTTCGTGGACACCGAGCGCTTCGGGTAGAAACCGTGTTGTTATGTATCGATATAATTTTTGCAGCGTGCGAACAGAGCACCATTTATGATAATCTCGAACAGTTTTGAGCAGGCACACAGGGAGGTGATTCCACGATAATTTATGACATTCCGTTTATCTCCTTTTTTGTGCACTGGGAACAGATAAGAAAGTTTCCAGCGGCAGGGGAACTCACATTGCTGTGCCGAGAGATTGAATAGCCTCGCAAGTGGAAGGCAGAGATTGGCTACACAACGTTTTAGAACTGATGACGGAATGCCGTCAGGTCCGGAGGCGAACGATAGCTTCAGTCTGCGTGTTGCGGCTATCACCATGCCTTCTGAAATGCGCGGAATAACGAAACTAAACACATCACGTGGCATCCCAACAGCAGCATCCAGCACTTGTGTTGGCGAAGCGGAGAAATCGTTGAACACTTGCTTGAAATATGACTATGATTGCCCTGAATTTTAGTTGGGCAGTTAGGGGCAGCCTTGATTGCTAGCTGCTTACGGGAAGCCTTTCATTGTGTACTGGAGAACACCACCACTCACCACGTGGTGATCGAATAAACACCGTTTGGTGAGACCGGATGGAATTCAACTTTGAAATCTGTGTTAGGGAAATCGCTTTTCTCAGGCAATCGGTGATAATTTTAATTATCATTGCAACAGTTGCACATTCGTGCAATTTTCAATAGTGACATTTTTAAAAAATTATGAAGTCTTAAATTCAACAAATGCGTAGAAATATTTCTGATCGATTGGTGATAAAATTATTAAAATTGGTTCAGGGGCAGCGGAGTTATTAACGTTCAAAATCTTTCATAATTTCTTTACATGTTCCATTTTCGGTTCTCACAAAGTGTACCTCGATATAGAAATTACAGACGTAGTCCTACGTCAAAAAGGATTTGAAAGTTTGATAAGTAATGATAATCTAATATTTTTAGAATAATTTTCCCATTTTTAACTCTCCTGCGCCCGTAGGGAACCGTTAAAGTAAACTCATTTATATTTTTATCTGCTAATTGGAAGGATGTTTGTATCATACCGGGCAAGTGTCATTCGGGCATGTGACATTCAGACAAATGTTATAGAATCGTTTATACATGCCCCGTAACGTTACGTTACGTTACGGAATGTAAGATCTACCACCGATTCCTAGTCTAGACTCCTTCAAACTAGGGGAACAGGATTTTTCAGTAATCAAAGGAACACATCTTCGTCCTTGTTACTTTTTATGCCTTGTTGTTAGTGATAAGTCCTCGGGTTGCCTGGACCGAGGATGATCTTGAAACAAGGAAAAAATGAGTTAGTTAGTCTTCATCTATGTGATTCCTAATCTTCTATTCGTTGATCCCTAGTTTGAAGTGGTAAGACTAGGGTTCTGATGCATGGTCACTATCGGTATCATACTTTAATTTTGTTGCTAAGGAAACCAATTTTGACTGACAAAGGGGCGCTCCTTTGGAGGGTGTTCCAACACTCCGAAGGGTATAAATAGCGGGACCTTTAAATTAGTCGATTCCTTGCGATGAAGGCAAGAATGACAACTGTATCAAAACCGAATACTTCATCATTTCTCAATAGTGATGAAGTAATACGACATGCACTAAACTAAGAACACGGGATATACTACAATAGATCAAATTACTGGTCGCAGTAGTTTTATGCCCCGAACAGAGGAGAAAAAAAAATCGTTTATGCATGCATAGAGTGATGTGGGGCACAAGAAAAATAAATCTTTCAATAAATGTTTAGTTTAGAAGATCTTTTAGAGACAGTCATCCACAAAAAAAAACATCATGAAGTGTTGAGCGCTACTATTCTTACTATTCGGCACCCATTCCAATTGGACTGCACTTTTGGCGACTGTTCTATCATCGGTAACTCTAAATCAGCAGGATTACAAACGCCAAAAAGTGAAACTTTCGAACCACCATCATCGCTGCTCCATGCTCCATAACGTATCACAAAATGATGGAGACGCATGGTGTTAATCTCGCATTAACCCACATCAAATACGCAAGCATTCCCCCGAGGCTGTACATATATGTTGGTAGGTAGGGTTACGGTATGTAATGTGGGTCTAGTCCTTTCATTCGGCCTATCACGCAAATAAATAATTAATTAAGGAATATTACACAAAAAATAAGGAAAATATTGATCACTGATGATTGATAAATGTGTACCACACACAAATCAATTTATATCACAACATTTCAATACATTTTCAGCTCTCGTAAGTAATAAAACTGGTTGAGAATATCACTCTGTTCGGAGTTTTTAGCCGCCATGACTTCTAAGGTTAAGATGGGAAGGTTGCACTGACGATCATCAAATGGCCTGATTATGGCATTTATTGAATGGAATTACCTGATAATACACACTAGACGTAAAACTCACAGTTACTGTTTGAATATTTTATGTTTATTTTAATTGTTTAACAACGTTTTCACAAGTAAATCATGGACCCAACTTTAGGGACACATTTCTTTTCTATGTTCCTAACTTTGGCCCATGAAATTCATTTGACAGCATATAGCAATAAGAGTAACGTCAACAATGTGGTTTGCATTTGGATGATAAGGAACGAACAGGAAGGGAGATTTTTTCTGCCAAATCTGTATAATGAACATCACAATGTTTTGATTTAGATATTCTGCGGTCGAAAGACGATAAGCGAAATTTTTAATTTTTAATTTTTAACTTGAGTGATTTAATGTAGTTTTCGTAAAATTTTCTCTAAGAAATGTTTTGAGGAATGAAGAGTATTAAGTTAACAGTGATAGTGATAAAAAAAATACATAAGAAAACGTTACCAAGAGCGTTTTTTTTGAGAATCAAACAGGATAGGACGAAGTTGCATCCATAAATAGACCCAATTTGGGGACAATAGACCGATATTACATACATTTCCCTGGTGAGTTTTTGTCTTAAAAAAAGTAAGTTTTTCAACTTTTTGCGGTTCCTGATAGCAAACGACATGATAAGCATATCTAAGCATACCATTTAGCAGTAGAATATCGTTTGCAGGTAAATTAATTGATGAGTTATGATTAAAAACGTAATCTATGGCTGCATATTAGACCGAGGTTAGGGACGTATACCCTATTTCCCCAATACGAAAGCGAAAACGTAATCAACCCGCAATTACAACATCAAATCGAAACTCACCCTCAGCCTCGTCCTGGTGGCAAACTTGAACGCTTTCGACAGCGTTCCCACATTGATGTCGCTGACATCGATACCCAACTCCTCCGACTCGCAGTTGAGCATAAATTTTTCCGCGTCCGCTTTGCACGCGTTCTCCGCCAGCTGCTTGCACAAGCTCTTCAGGTAGATAATTTTATCCTTCTCCTCGTCGCAGATACTGAACGAATGCAGCCGGTCCTTGTTATCGGCGTTTGCCCTGCAGTTTAACGCGAACGCTCGCGGGCTGTCCTGGATGTTAACCACCAACCGGATCGAGCTCAGTGGCATCAGTTTGACGTGCTTGTACGGTTTCGTCGTTTGACAACGGGTCGAGTTGAGACCATTTGTACTGGGTGATTTGGTGTTGTTGAATGCTCGTGATCGTTTCTTGCACACTTCCAGCGTGTCGCTAAACAGAAACAGCATCAACGAGTCTCCCCGACCACTGAGGCTATCGGTCAGCTCGGTGACTTCACACCGCGACACAAAGTGCCGATGGGACGATACTAGATGGGGCTGTGGGTGGATGATAAATTTTAGAACATTTATGTTCGAAACACGGAAAACTTTGGTACTCACCGGACAGTTATCAATGTCGTTGAAGATATCGAACATCGCAAGTTGACCTTCGGTTTTACGCTTGTCTTCGTTGATGTGGGTCATCACTTCTTTGATTGCTTTCAGGGCTTCGTCCAACTTCCTGTTATCTGGGTTGTTCTTTGCGGTATGTTTCAAAATGTCTGCAATGATTCCAACAAATTCATCAATACGGATATAAATTGTAACGATGAGTACTCGATCACCTACCATTAAGCAGCAAACTAATACTTGGTAACCGTTGCACAGGCCGAATCATCAAGTCCTGCAACGTCTGGCGGCCACACTCCGGTTTGGCCTGGTTGATCTTGAGGAACGCATGAAACCGCGGGTTTCCTGCATCGCACTGTAGCAGTGTTTCTTTCATGTGTTCGAAAAAGTTCACGTACGGTGGATAGGCCTTGATCAGATCATCCCGATAGTCGAGGATGATCTGTCCGATTAGATGCTCCTCGGCCCATTTGTTGTGGATCTCCTTCAGCTGATTCAGCATCCGCTTGTGGACGTCGTGAATCGGTAGGAAATTGCTAAAGATCGACTTAAGCTCCGATTTGTTGAGCAGTGCGTTCTCCGGATCCTTCTCCGCCATATCCTCCAGGGGCACCTTGAAGAGCTATTACAAATGTATTCATCAATAATCATTCTAATGAAAAACAGAAACCCCATTCGAAGACTTACATTAACGATCGTATCCAAAATCCCCACGTAGTTCGATTCAGTGTGGAAGAAGTCCATAAAGTGATTATGCCGCATCGATTGACTCTTGATCGGTTGATCAATGGAAACGTCAACCGCTTCGGCAATGACGTTCTTTTTGCTGCCTTCATGTTTGTCCGGACTGGTTGTGCAATCGAGGAAACTGCCGGATACGGACAGCAGTCCGGCATCCGACACTGAAGATCGACGTTTGCCCGTACCTAGGGGTGTTCCTTCGCCGGCCGGTGTCCGATGCGATAGGCGTTTTCGTTTACGCTTGTTGAAGCTAATCGGAAGCGAATCCCTCCTATCTGCTCCCGGTGTATTTGCTATACTATCGAGATACTGAAAGGCATAGGAACGATTGAGACGTTGCTACAAAATATGGTATTACAATTAAAGCTAACTTACATCTCCAAAAAGGTAGTAGCCCTCGTCGGCGTAACCATTCTGTATCGTGTACCAGAACCAATCCGCTTTCACGATATGCGTTTTCGTATTTTTCGGTTCAGGTTTGGAAGTTACTACGTGCTCATCGACAACCTAGAAATAGCAAAGTAACAGATAAAATTTCGGACAGAGGAACTATTTTCAAACTAAAATAAATTAAATATATAAAAATGTGTTTCACAATTCGTATTTGCACGAATTAATCAAATTCCAGTACATTAACATAAGGTTGGGGCAAAATATAATTGCAATTAGAAACTCTACTAATCGAATTCGTTTCATTCCAAAGGATTTTTTGTTTGTCTATCTTTTGTTTCAATTTAATCAAGATTTTTCAGCGTATTACAAGTGGATAACATTCTTCGTATAGTTTTATGTGATCACTATTAAACTAAATTTCAAATACTAACAAATTGATAGTAAGCAGAATAACAACCAATACTACAACTACAACTACTATTACAAAAGAGATAAACGATAGCAGAAGAAATAATAACGACTAACATGAATGAGAATTGTTACATTATATCGAGATATAACTGTATTGTAAATAAGGTTTTAAATGGAATAATTTTAAATTCTACGCACGGAGCCTCCATTAAATACGCTCTGAGGGGAGATGGGGGGTTACAAATGTAGAGCAAGCAATGCATTAGATATAGGAAAAACGTGGCAAAAGGGGGAGGGGCGGTTGATTTTCCCTAAATTTCGTGTGACGTACTTAATGCATGCTCCCTCACCCTACGTAATTTTATGCCGTGGGGGATAAGTGGGACCACGACAGAAACGAAGCTTTTGAGGAATCATTTACATTAAATATACATTGTTTACACTGTATAATGAACACGTCAAGCCGAATACAATGAACTTATTTAAAAGAAACCTTTTATCATTTTAATGTAACTGATTAATGTGATTGAATTAATCCATTTTTTACAATGAAATATCAATGGATAAGTACTGTGGTTTTGTTGTCCCTGATAGATGGTGTATCGTTATCTTCTAATTTTAAACAGTGTTATGGAATTTCAATAACATAGAATTGCAAAATTCACAATAACGCCATTTTTCAACTATTGTAGACTTAATTTGTTTGTGCTGCCTTCCTGTTTTGGTTCAATGAGTTTGGTCATACCTATCGGTTTTATGGATTCCACTTGCCCCAGTGCATCTTAAACCATAATTTTGATGCTATACACGAACAGCGTTTGAAATTGCTGCTCAATTACAATTCATTTAGAATGTTGAGATAATGAATTGATAATAATGAACCTGATATATTTTTATCCGCTACCCACACAACCACACAATAAACAAGTACATTTTTACAAACCTGACCACCACGCTGCACTTGAACAAACCCTAATCAATAAACCTCAACATGGCCAGCAAATCCCTCCGGTAGAACGAACCACAATTTACTGACAACAGCTTTTATATACCTATCCATAGGGGTAGGAGGGGCTGAGTGAACAGGTGCAACATAATGAACATCCTGCAATTAAGCCTTAAGTTTCTATTTTTTTTTTTTTAATATAATTTGAAGTATGTATTAATTCCTGTCGAATTTGTTCACTATGCCCCTCCTTCCCCTATATTGTTTAATTTGAATTGAAAACGCATTTCGCCACAGGATCCCATCATAAATACAAAATGGACATCACGTACGCCCGTCATCCCGTCCTGAGCTGAATGTGCACATCGCTCTATTCTTCCTTACCCATTCCCACGCACATTGATTCGTATTAATTGACCAAAACCAAACAGATTAAAATGGTAGGTACTAACACACAGCGGGATCATTTTCCCTCGGCGAATTCAGCGACAACCCCGCACGGCTTTACTCCGCCAATCACCGATGCAAAAATAAAAATATTCCAGCACACCACAGGATCCACTGCATCAATTTACGCAACCACGAGATGCGCGCGAACGTTCGATGAATAAAAATTAATATCAATAATTAACTCCAGCTTCTCGTGTGCGTCTGTTATGTCCAACTTTTCAATGCTATTTATTGTTCAAAAATAACAATCACATTGCACTGTCATTCAGCAAATATTGATCAGATACACGTCAACAATAACAACAATACTGCTGCTGTTGTTGGAATTATGTTCATCAATCGCGAGCACCCGACGACCTAACCCGTCCCATAGCTGCCGGGAAACTGTCCCTCGAAAGTACATGTCCGGACCCTTGCTATGGGGAGATCCCACTCCAGTCTGTGCTTCGACCGACAAGGTGTTAAATAGCGGAAAACTCCGATCAAATAAATTCGCGGACGAATTCGGAATTCGCATTGCAGCCACCTAGCAGTTTTTTTTTTTTCGATCCAAAATTCTCTGTCAATATGCGGCAACAAGTAAATTGCTGATGATGAATTATTTTTGTTCAATCATAATAGTCAAGGAACGAAAAAAAAAATAGCTAGCTGGAAGTGGTAGAATGGCAAGCGAGACGGAAAATGAACCCACAGCCAATGTAGGTACATACTGTTCCTCCGGCAAGTCGCACCACACGAGACACATTTGATTGTGGCAGAATAGGGACGACTGGAACAAAAAAAAATGATGAGCTGCACATTCATATTCACAGGTAACTTTGAAAGACATGTACATAAATACATGCACATGACGGACGGTGCACCAAACGAAAAACTACAAATTGCAAACTGTGCACGATAATTAATTAATAATAAAAGCAGCGTGAATAAATTATTTATGTACCCAGAAGGTGTGCGAGTGTGGGGGAGATTAAAGCCACCTTTCACCTTCGTGGAAAATTAGACGATGGGCTGAATGTGGATTCGTTTGAAGTGTGAATTGATCGAAAACAGCTTGTAAGGGCCTGTTCAAATATTACGAAACGTAAGAGGGGTGGCGATGATATACGTAATATTACCAGGGCTGATAGCAGTGTTAAGCAATAAAAATAGTGAATTAGTGACTAAAATCATTTTAAAAAGTAACCAAAATGTGACTTAAACATTATCAGGAAACTTTCAGAAATAGAAACATTCAAATTGATTTGTACAATCATCTTTTGCACGAGCCCTGTTCCTATTTTAAGTGTTTGGCTGTCAAATTGCATTTCCGCTTGAAATCTTTCAGGCCAATTGCAGTTCCACCCTTTTTCTTCAGTATGTGCTTCTCATTTGACCAGTATTCCTCAATTGGCCTTAGTTCCAAAGAGTATTGGCTGGATTCATCTCCTTGGGAATTTGAGTAGTAGTCCGGCCATAATAGTCAATCCATCTCATGCTGCCAGAAAAGGCAGTATTATTTTCCGTAGGCACTCCTCCTGGTTAATTTGCTGGTTCATGGTCCCAGTTTCGCTTTTGCACTTTGTGGAAATACGATATATTTTGGATTTAGTTTTAAGAAATTCCAAAATTATTTATCTTTTACATCTTTAAATTCTGATGATTCTACAAAAGAACTGCAAGATGCGGGACATTTACAAATCATATGACTAAGACACCTTTAAAGTTATCATTCTCAATTTATAAGTTCCAAAGTCAATATTTTTAAGAGAAACTTGTGAGATAAATATATAAAGGGGAACATTGAGCACAAGAGACACTTAAATCAATGCTGACTAATTTAAGCAGGGTGGCCAGTGAATTTTCATTTTGAAATTCCCGGTTTTTTCCCGGTTTTCCCGGTTTAAATCTTAAAAATTTCCCGGTTGTTAATATTCAACACAAAAAAAACGAAATTAAACGCATTTTTAAGAACGTGCTGAAAGGAATTTACTGAAGGGATAAATGTGATTTAAGAAGATTCCCAAGATTGTGGGGCTTTTAAATTTGTGTAGAGTCTGAAACTAAAACTTTTTTCAAAATCTGCCACCTTCGTGATGCAAGATTTGAAGAAAAATAATTAAAATGCGAAATATTGAAAAAAATTCAAGATCACAGATTTGAAGGGGCATTTTAAGGGTTATAACAAATTACAGAACAATCTATAGAATCTAGTGGAAAAACCCTGGAGTTTTTAGTAAGATTTGAAAGAATTCAAAGTGTTGATTTCAAATAAATATTGAGAAGGATTCCCACACAGCTTTCGAATGAGAAGTTCTGAGCTGAATACCAGAACTATTCTGTTAAGATGTATTTGAAGGGATTTCTGTGGAGAAGAATGCATGTTCTAAATTAAATTGTTAGGTAATTTTAGAAGATTTCAAAAGGAGTTGTGAAAAACAAAACTTTGCGGAAAATTCTTACGTGAGGAGATTTGTATGGGGATCGTGAGGAAAATGACAGATGAATTTTAAGAAATATTCCAAGAGAATTATGATCAGAATTCAACAAGAAACAGAGTTCTTAGAGTGTTCTGGCACTAATTTCAACCCTAGTGCGAAAGATTCATCACAGAACTCCAACAAAATTGATTGCAAAAAAAATTGCTGATAATTAGAAAGAAATTCTTTAAAATACTCCCAAGGGTTTCTAAATAATATTTAGAAAGATTTCTGCTGTTTTGAATAAAGTTAAAAGATTTTCAAAGGAATCGAAATCTCCAGATAGGCTCAAGAGAATAGACCTTTTTAATGCACTACCAATGAAGCGTGCGCCAAGTGAATTCGAGAGGAAACGTCAGCCAGACCATTTTTTTACATCAGAATGAGGATTTTTCACAACGCAAATTAGAGCATTTTTCATTCAACATCTTGCCAATTTCCATCAGTAATTGCCATATTTTACGATATTTCACAGATCTGAACTGATTTGCACTGAACTATTCAAATACAAGAAATCCAGAATATAATAACCTCTAAGGCACTTTTATAATTTTCCATTTTTCTCACCAAAAATATTCATGGACACTTTGCAGGATCCTTGCAAAAACGATACAGAATTAAATGTTTCAACTGTAAATCAAGTTTTGGAGCATCTCAGATGAATCAATTTATCAGGAAAAGTAAAAAAGTATTCCGCTCACAACACTCTTTTTAACGTCCTCCTATTTGCCACCAGAGGTTGAATCGATCGTTTAGTTTCTATTAAAAAGGCGTATTTTAAGAAGGATTCCAATTAAATTATTAGAAGGGGTTGCAAGGAAATTCCAAAAAGAATTCACTGGTAATTA